GGAGTTTTGTTTTGGATTCGTACTCTAATATTCCAGCAACTGTAGAGTTATCGAATGTACCAGGACCTGTCACATAAGGTCGAGCAGTCATGTAAAATGTTGCATTAGGGAAATGAGATTTGGTTTTGAGAAGAACGTTATGTGTCTGTCCTGGTGTAATAATAAGTGTATTTGTCTCAAATGGTTTAACGTAAACTCCGTCAGCATCGATAATTTGGAGAGTATGATTTGCAATACTGAAGAAAAGCTCGTCATTAAGTGCAGCGTTGATCAATCGAAGAAGATATGTTTTTTCAGGCTTCACCTTTAGTTTAAAAGTATCTGTATATAATATAAAGAAGATATTTAATAGTATCATATATTTTAGTGTACCGACATTATTTAAAAAGCGAAAATAAATTACCTTTTGCGGAGAAGTTATATAAAGGTCCAGGAAGTCCATTGATAGTATAAGCATCGGAAACATTAGGACCTCCACCTGTTTGTAAAGCTTGTGAAATTATAGCTTCAGTATCAGCATTGAACCATTCTCCTGTGTGACATAAATATATTATTATTATTAGTATTCTAATCATTAATTTTCTAATAGACAAATTATTAGTGAAGGATTATAAAAATTACCAAAGATAATGGGAATTTCTTTGTATGGTTTAGCAAATGGATAAGGAGTATTTTTGTTAGGTAAAATAATAATAGGACCATAGAGAGTTGATCTCAACCATGAAATATGTGCATGCCACCAAAAAGTTCCTCTTTGACCAATTATAGTGAAATTATACACATATTTTTGACCATTTTGAATTGGACATTGTGTTACATAAGCTGGTCCATCGGCCCATCCACTACGAACTTGTCGAATTCCATGCCTATATATATAATAATAATCGTTAAATATTAAATACTCGTTGAACCTTATAAACTATTTCACAAAAATAAATATTTATTTGTTTACCAATGGATGGAGATATTGTTGTGAACATGATTGACAACTTCAATTTCAAGACGATCACCTTCCCTTGCCACAATTTTAGGTCCAGGAAATTGTCCATTTACTGTAACTATACTCTTTGTGTGACATAGTCGTGTCACATTTTGCATTTTTATCTGAAACGCGCAAAAAAGAGAGAGAAGAAGTTAGTATCGACACATACTAAATACTAATTAATTCTAAATCAAAAAATTGAATTTACTTCAAATTTATAGTGTCTGGTTGCAGCGGAAACGCTAGAGAGGAGACACGATGCAATCATCAGAGATAAGAGAAATATTTCAGTAGCGCCCATTTTTTGTGCTAAGAAAATGAAATCTTTTTTGTTTTGTTACAAGCTTAACTTGCTTCTTAATATTTAGTGCATGGGAGTCAAGTGTATATATAGAGATGTTTGGTTGATTTGGTGAAATTATTTTTAAAGAATAGATAGAATTGAAGAGAAAAGTGAATAGGTTGATTGTAAGCTATGTTTGGTTAGACCAACTGTTGTTGTAGAACATACTTTAGAGTGGTGTCAAAGAAATACATATATATTTTTGTTGTATATTTGTATATCATTTGTGATTTTTGTATTTGTCATGCAGATATTTGACTATGTATGGATTTTCCTTGTTAATAACTCATTGAGGATAGATTAATTTAGACTTCATAGACAGCTAGCTATAGGCTTCATGATTTTGACACTCTTCCATACAGAAAGAATATATATATATATAGCCTTCAACAAAAAGCTTTTATCATGCATGCATTACAAAGTGTAATTATTATCAAAAAAAAATAAAAAAAATCTTACTAACTTGAATTGAAAGAAAATTAAAGGGGTGATTTAGTTAGATAGTGGCTTAACTGATAGTTATTATATTTTTTAAAATTAAAATTAATCCAATTTTTTTTAATTAAGAAAGATGACTTTATGAGATAATAATTATTAGTCAACAATAAAGAAAAAAGAAATAAATAGAATATAAAAAATTATTGAATTTGTTGAAACTAATTGAATGACATTTAGATACTTGAATTAAGTCATGTTCCAATTAAACACCTCAATTTCTAAAAAACTGTTCTAATTAGTCACTTTCTTATACTTTATGTATTTATCAAATATGTAGATGAGTGAAATATAGTGTTTATAAATAAGTTTGATCAGCTTATAAACTTGGTTAAATACCGTCTAATTTTTAAAAAATATATCTTAAAACTTTTTATATTACTCTTACTTTTTTAGAAGGAACAAAATCTGTGTACATTTTACCTTCTTCAAATCATACTTAGTGAAATTACATTGAATATGTCATAGTTATTGTTTTTATTTTTACTCTTAACAAAAAATATTCTTATTGTATATTCTTTATTAGGTCCCAATTATGTGTCCCTCTACTTTTTACTCATCATCACTTCTTTCTCTATTTACTAGTAGAATAATAACTTACCTTTTCATTTTATCGTTAATAAAATAATTTATGGTCAAATTTGATTTAATTTAAATCATAAGTTCTAATATTCTCTATTTTTTCTCTTAAAACTTGGTATCTAATCAAATATCATCAGATAAATTCAAACAAAAAAAGTAATTTATCAGATCACAGGCTTTAAAAATTCTTATGAAATCCGCCACACGAATATTATATTCTCTCCAACCTATTTTAAAATATAGTTTTACACCCCTTTTTAAAGTTTTTTTTTTCAGCGTCAGTGTGTGAATTAAATTTCATTCTAGTTGAGCCAACCACGAGAGGCTTTTAATTCCTGTAGCAACGGAATACTATGCCATTTATATTTCTTAAAATACTTATAATATTTTTATTTATTAATTATATTTTTTTAAAGAAATATGTTTTACTATATTATTCTTATTTATATCTTAAAATACAATCTTTTTCCATTAAAAATTCCTCTATTTATGTATCATAATGTTTAGAAAAAACAGTTATTAAAATAAATTAACGTAGAATAATCAGTAAGTATTTATAGTCTTGAAAAACAATTATAAAAATAAATTAAAGAAAATAAGTAGTAAATTTATTACTGCTTTCGTCCAGTATTATTTGTCATGGTTCTATTTTTAAAGTTAAACTATAAAAACTTTGACTAATGAATTTTTTTATCGTATTAATATGAAAAAAATTATAATTTATAGTATTTTTCATATAATGTTAATTTTTTTTAAAAAAAATTATCGATTTTTTTTAATTGTTGTAGCGAATTAGCTGGCGTAAAATACGGGATAACGGGGAAGTTATCAATTCCAAAAAAGTGCACTCTGTACCATTACGTGTGTGCTTCATAAATACATATTCTATCGTCCCAATTTATCGGACATATTTTTTAACTTATTTACTTTTTTATAATTCGAATAATTTATTTTTTGATTTCATTTATCTTTTATTTCTTAAAAGAATAATTTATGATTACATTATTTTATAAAAATCAAATTTTTATTATTTCTATATTTAATTAAATCATATCACATAAATTGAGACAGAAAAATATACGTGCCAACCTTTTTAACACTGCAATAATTTAGTAATAGCCCCACATGGTTGTTAGTAGTAAAAAAGTTAAATTTGTGGGTACTTTTGTATATTATATGAAAACAATGCAAATAGAAATAAATAAAATGAGTAAGGCAAACAGCGATCATTCTCGTGGGTTCACGCAATAGGTTACTGCAGTCAAAAGTAATAATAATAATAATAATAATAATCATGTTTGCATTTACCATTTTTCATGAGTCTTATCTCCTCCTTTTTATTCCCCAACCCCCTTTTAAAAAAAATAAAAAAATTTGCAACTATAGATTTATATATAAAAGAAATTTATACTTTCATTGGAATTTAACTTGTCATATGATGTCATGTCAAATAACTACTTGTATGGTTAAAATAGATTTTGAATAGTGGTTATAAAATTGTTTTTATATATATATAGTTGAGATATAACAAAAATAAAATACGTTATATAAGTTGAGATAAAATGAAAGGTATGCATTTGTGTTTAAGTTAATTTTTTTCGTTCGAAATAATTAATGTTTTATCCTCTAAAAATCTGATACAAACTAATTGATATTTTTCATATATCAAGAATTATTTAATTCTTTTATATATTAATATATTTCATATATCAAGAATTATTTAACTCTTTTATATATTAATATATAGTACTCCTCGTTATCTAATTATTTGTCAAGTTTTTTTAGTTTGTTTCGAATTATTTGTAGTTTGATAAATTAAGAAAAAATAAATATTTTTACCTATTCTACATTCAATCAATTATTTTGAAAAAAGTAAAACTTCCTGAAAATTTTAAATTTTTAATTCATTCACTTCATCATTAATGCTGTAAAATGTGATATCTTCACTAAAACAATAATTGTTTTTTTAATAGGATGTCAAATCATAAATAGACAAGTAATTAGGGACAGAAGGAGTACTATCTATCATGAACACACATATATTTATTTTTTTTAAAAAAATTGTGTATGTGTGTGGTGGTGGTGGTGATAGGGTGGGGTTGGTGGTTAAAAATGTGGGAAGTCGTAATTCGTATCCTCACCTACAAAAAATTTAGATAGTCAATCAACTGAGCTAGCTAATGAGATCCGAAAATAATTTTCTATATATTTTTTGCTTCATAGAAATTAAATTCAATTTGCTTTAAATTTGCCTAGCCAGGCTGTATATACTACTATTTCATATGACTCTTTACTCCACCAAGAATTTTAATACTACTATTATACTACTATATATTAAAGTTTACCTTAAGGTTTTTGTGCATGACACAAAGCACTAGAAAGGGACAAATTTATAAAATCCTTTTTTTTTTTATAGTTTTGCAGACTATCTTATCATATAGTGATCATTTGCCTTTTGTACTCTTTTTAAAACTATTTTGTACCCTAAATTTCACTGACAAATTATAAGTCATTCTTGGAATAATTTAAAAATTGTACTTCTTTTTTTTTCTACTAAAGATGGAGAGTTTGCTTTGTGATGAAATTTGGCTAGAAAAAGAAGAAGAATTGAAAAATAATGTTGAAAATTCTTGTTTTTTTAAATCAAAAGAAGATTGTGAAGAGGCTTTTAAGATTTTATTAAACAAGGAGATAAGTTACATGCCTAAAATAGGCTATGTGAAGTTTATAAAAGAGAATTGTTTTATTGAAAATGCAAGGTTTAAAGCTATTCATTGGTTTATTAAGGTAATTTCATCTTTTCTTTAATAAATCATGTCTCATATCTATCTATCGTGTAAAGACGTAAAGACGTAGATTCAGTAGCGGAAACAAAATTTTCGTAAAGATATAATGAGTGATTTTTCCGACAAATGAAGTTTGGATGAACCCTTTTTTGATCCCTCTATCTCCGCCCCTTAAGATGTTCATATAGTATAATCTCAATTGGTTCAACTGAATTCAATAATTTTTTGTATGAAATTTTAAATTTATTATAATCTCAAGAAATTATCATTTTTTTTTGTGTGTTTTTTTTATCTCCTAATATTTTTTTTAATGATTATGAACATATTGTAAAGTCTCAAAGGAGGTGGAATCTCTCATTTGGGACTTGTTTTGGTGCTGCAAGTTACCTTGATCGATTTATCTCTTTAAACAAGTGTCAGGTAACAATATTAATTTATATTAAAGTTTATATATATATATATATATATATATATATAT